TATTCACCCATCACTGCTGGGTGAATACAGCAACCGAACATTGGCAGTTTGTCTCAAGTTTTCGTCTGACCAACGGGCTGGCCTGGATACGAAGTTTTTTTTTAGATTTTCTTCGCATTATTAACACTTAGAATGGGGTTAGTTTCTCATAGTAGGTCCACCTGGGAGGCAATCTCCTTGGTTGATTGCTCATGTGTTGCATCAAACTAACTCAATAATTCAATATACAGTATAATTTTTATTACATAATTTGGACTCTATTAATACGAAAAATAATGATATTATCTTTATGTTTTGTTTAAACATTATAATCTAAATTATTTGTGAAACTACAAACAGCATACGACAAAGACGCCATTATCGGTCATCTGTTATAAAATACATAGAAAAACTCTAAAGTAAAATAAATAAACATGTTCGAGCCACAACATCGTGTCGTCTTTTTACGAGAAATACATTCATTTGATATTGATTAGACTGAATTCCCTTTTCTTCGTATTGTCCTTTATATTCTCGAATCGATTTCAAGCTACCTTTAATTATGGAATAATAATTACTTTATAGAATATAACACGGAAAAGGGAATATATATTTTTAATGCTACACTTTAACAAAGACTTAAATCATTGCAGCGCGAGTTCATGCAGTCATACAAGAACATTCAAACACACGTGATTGATAACAGCATCGATACTATGAGTGCGTCCCTGGTATAGAGGCTTTAATACAGCTGGATAAGCAAGCCAATGATATGGCCTGCTTCATTTGAAACGAGTCCATCAGTGGCCGAATGGATAAAACCACTGAACACCGGTAGTTGGTCGCCTGGCCAACGGGCTGGCCACGTGGAGTTTTCCAGATTTTCTTCACGTTAGTAACACCTAAATAGGGACCATTTCCCATAAAAGGCCTCCCGGGACGTTTTCCCCTCGGCAGATCGCCCATGTGTTGCGTTGCCGTATACTAATTAAACATTTAAACGAACTATGTGATTGCATCTGTATATCCTGCTGTATTAAAGCCGCTTTACCAGGAAACACTTTCTACGTACTGTACCTGTATTAATTTGTAATTTTTCCTCTTATTTTCTTTTTTATGACATTTCTATCCAATTTTCAATGAAATTTAATGACTGCTATTTGCTGTATTATTTAAAACAATAACCATGAAATAGACAATTTAAAATCTGTAGTGTGACCAACGAGCTAGAATATACCACATAGAATGGCTGCTGTAAGCGTGGTTACAGCGCTCTTAGTTGCAACGACGGGTACTACCTCGACCGCCATTTTACTTTAAGTCAAAACATTGAAGTCTGTACCACGTGTTGGGCAGGATTGTCACTTTTGAATATATTTTTCTCATCTAAATCTAGATTTGAGATTTAGGCAATTGCGTTAGGCAAATGTAAGTGATATAAATCTAGATTGTTTTCGAATTTAGCTATTTTCTAGAATTTATTTCATTTTTGTAAAGAAGATAACATTAGAGTTTAAAGTGGTAAGTATAGTACTTAACTCCCAATATAACAATATTTTTATAATCTAAGTCCCAGCCAGGTTTCGAAGGGCTTTACTTTCGGCCATATGATTGATTAAATTGAAACGTGAACGTCGAACATCGAGCGCCGCTCGAAGTTCGACCTTCACGTTTTAGAGATGCCAGCCCGTCCTGGCGAGGCGCAAACCCACGACTGCACTCCCAGTGTTCAGGGAACTGAACCGCTTGGCCACTGGTGAACCGGGATCATTTTGACTCGCACCATTTTAGTTAGGGTTTAAAATTCTTCCTTTACTTTGCACACTCTTACACAACGAGTTAGAATATTCTAGCTCGTTGTCTTTACACAACATAAATGCCATGCCCCCTTGACTAAAAGTAAAATGGCGGACGTGTATTCAATTTTTCTCAAACAGGGCGTCACTTCAGCCACTCTATGTAGTATATTTTAGCTCATTGGAGATAATTTTCAACTGTAATTAAGTAAAACGTTATTTCCTTAAATTGATACTTCTGATCACGCTTGCGGGATAAAATACCTGGGGATTTCTCCACCCATCCAGATTCGATCCCGGATGCCCCAAATCGGTAGGTTGCCACCGTTGACCGGTCGGCCATCCGGCCGTCCGATTTTGTTTCGGTAAAAAGGATTAATAGAAGGAGATTTTCTGTTTATGAAATGGCCTACTCGACGTTTCGAGACCCACCAAATCCAAAAAGTCAAAAGAAAAAAATTCCGCGTGTATTTTGGAGGGACACACGTTCGAATAAACATCGTACTAGCGAGGACCGATTTTTAGTCTCCCCTCTATATCAAAAACAACGCGCAGGACAACGTATTTGCATTAACAAAAGTGGGTCCTCGAATATCAGCATAACCAGAATCGATTTACACGTGGGAAGCTCGTGTCTCAGCTGTACCCATTAAATGTTGCCACTGCGCTTTTGTGTATAAACATCCTCGTTCTTCGATTCAAAAAGACATTCGGAACGAATTCCTACGAGTCTAATAGCTGCGACAGAACTTCAATAAAAGAAAAAATAAATAAATAAATAAATAAAAATAAGAAAATATAAGTTTGTGTTTGTCTGCNTTTTCAACTGTAATTAAGTAAAACGTTATTTCCTTAAATTGATACTTCTGATCACGCTTGCGGGATAAAATACCTGGGGATTTCTCCACCCATCCGGCTTCGATCCCGGATGCCCCAAATCGGTAGGTTGCCACCGTTTACCGGTCGGCCATACGGCCGTCCGATTTTGTTTCCGTAAAAAGGATTAATAAAAAGAGATTTTCTGTTTATAAAATGGCCTACTCGACGTTTCGAGACCCACCAAATCCAAAAAGTCAAAAGAAAAAAATTCCGCGTGTGTGTATTTTGGAAAGACACACGTTCGAATAAACATCTTACTAGCGAGGACCGATTTTTAGTCTCCCCTCTATATCAAAAACAACGCGCAGGACAACGTATTTGGTCTTCGAATATCAGCGTAACCAGAATTGATTTACACGTGGGCAGCTCGTGTCTAGCTGTACCCATTAAATGTTGCACTGCGCTTTTGTGAATAAACATCCTCGTTCTTCGATTCAAAAAGACAATCGGAACGAATTCCTACGAGTCTAATAGCTGCGACAGAACTTCAATAAAAGAAAAAATAAATAAATAAATAAAAATAAGAAAATATAAGTTTGTGTTTGTCTGCCCTGCCAGGGAGGAAGGCGATTTGTAGGAAATTTTGTTAGCATTATTAGGCTAAACGGGACTTAATAAAACCACTTCGACACGAAAATGCATTTCTTGTATAAGAAGGATGTAAATTTAATAAGAACAATATCTAAATTAAACAAGTAAAACGGCGAAGCCATTCTTGGGACGAGACTGTCTCGTAGAGTGCGAGCAAAGCTTGCGTAAATATCGCATTCGCGCCTGTTTTTAGAAACAGTCTTAACATTTTGTATTTTATTTTGACCCGGTTCTCGGTCCCCCGATTATCTACAAATCTGGTTTCTTTTATGTGCGCATGATTTGGGTACCAAATACTCTGTGCCAAATTGCAACTCCTGACATGTACTCCTTCATTCCTTCCCACCTCTAAGGTGTGCAGCCGTTGACAGCAGCGCGATTTCATAGACGAGACAAAGTCTTGTCAATTATAAAATGATTGGATACGAAATAATTGAACGAATAGACAATCCAAACAATTTATATTGTACAATAATAATATCTGATCAATTGTTGGAAATACACGTAAAAAATGGCAGAGGACGAATTAGATATGTTTGACGTCGAATGTCCTATTTGTTTTGATGTTTACATCGACCCGGTCATCTCTACTGCAAGTCGTGTATCGAGAGTGTAAAAAAATCACCAAAGTTTGTCCGACGTGTCGATCTCCGATACGCAAAATTAAAAAGAGAGACGATCGAGTCAAAGAAGTGAAGAAAANCACTGATTTGTTGAAAATGTTGCTTTTCCTTGAATGGAATATAGTTATAACAACAAAAAATTGAATATTTTATTTATTTACTTATTTATTTTATTTCAACATTTCATACTTTTTTCAAAAAGCTACAATGAAACAAAAAATAAATTTAATTTTATAGGAAAAAGTGGAGAAAATAATAAAAAATATTTAGTAATAAGTTGCATGCATATAATTATATTTCTTAGTTAAGATGGTGCAGATTTTTAAAGTGTTCATGATAAATGGTACATAGGGTAATAAATCCATCATATCTTCATATTTTTCTTTAGAGTTGACCTGCCTCACTTGTTGACAATATAAATTACTAGTAACAAATTCATACTGATACTGTATTAAAAGATATTTATTGTTAATTTTTATGTTTTGTTTTTATATTAAAATTTATTGTTAACTTGTATTAAGAATTAGCTTTAACTATTTTTTTCACAAAATGGACTTGCCCCTCTTTCAAAATCCACAGCTCAATTAATGCATAGTGAATACTGATTTTAACTAAACTTGATTTAAATCTTACTCTAGACTTTACTTGAGGTGGTGAATATAGCTGTAAGTCCTGTTGATATGTTCTGAATTACCCTGTATTTTATAATTCAAAAATTACTATTGGTATAATAAAAAACACTTACTAGAATTTCATTATTAATATTTTCTGCCATTTTCTTTGATACATATAAGTAAAAATTATGACTATTTTTAGAATCACAGTCATATACTAATTTCAATTCATCATCTGGATATTCCTTCATGAAAAAAATTTGCAAGTTAAATTAAAAATTAAATTTATAAATCACTTATAAAATAAATATTACAGGATGGCTTATAAGTAGATGGACAGAAGGCACTTACTTAGTATATTTTTTATTAGTGGTGGCATAACCTATTCCCATGGATTTCTTCATTTTGGGGTCATCAATGACAAGGTGCTCCTTGGAAGCCAAATTTTCTGGACATGGACAGCATGAAACAATACATCATTGATACATTCCATGGGATTGACAGCAACAACTCTGTCATTGGGTATGTAGCAGTGTTCTGGGAAAACTTCAAAACTGAAATAATCAGAATGGCCAGCAATGCCTAGTTAACAACAGGAACAATGATATTAAGTTCTTTCAACTGTTCATCTAATTATAAACCACCCTGGTATAATGCACACACTTAAGTTTATATTTTATTTATTTAGTACAAGGTTTATTATCCTCTGTATAAGAAAAACAAAAACAACAATATTACAAAATACAAAAATTTATATAAATACAAATTATATTAAGTACAAATATTAACCTGACCAACTGGTGCAATAATAATAATAAGAATAAAAGGTAATAAAGAAGTAATAAAACTTTAAGAAAAATATAATAAAAAAAATTTATACAAACATAACAAAAAATAAGTATTTTGCAAAAAGAAAGGCAGCAGCTTATCATGGCCAATCAGCATCAGATTAAGGAAAGAAAATAAATAAATAAAAGAAATAAAAAGTATTCTTATAACTAGAGTTCAGCAAAAACTCAGCTCAGTGTTTCCAAATAGTTGGGTCTTGATAAACAAGCTGCAAACTGAGCTGTGAATTTGGACTGGAGATGAGAGCTGAGCTAAATTAAGCTGAGGTGTGTTGTAACAAAGCCCATTTTTGAAATTAAATTACATTTGTAATAATAAGAGATACACAGTATGATGGATATGTTTTCATTTATCTTATTAGAATGACAGTCTTTAAATAAAAAAGATAGATTTCATTTCTATCTAATCCTGAGATATTAGAATGCCACATCCAAGAAACATTTCCTCCTTTTTTAATTTTTTTTTGATTTAGGGGGTCTCAAAATGTCAAAATTTGTAAAAAAAAACAGAGGATCAAATTTGACATGATTACAATACTTTCCTGTGTTGTTATAGCAGCCAGGAAAGTAGAACCTACTGTATCTCCACTGGTTGATAGCAACAAGAATTATCATTTATGTTAATCCTATTTTTATTTTTAAACTCTCAATAGAAAGTATCAAAAATATGTAACATAAAGCCTGATAAATTAAAATCTTTATTCATCTACTGCATACAGAAAGACAATTTGAATATTTGATTAACAGATGAACCAAGAAATTTTGAATTAGTTATGTCTTTGTTTCTATGATTAGTGTTCATATTTTGGAAGGACCATTTAACCAAGTGCTTACACGTGTTTGTAAGGGCATGCTTGCATGTGATCAGAAGAAAACAGTTTCTGGCCATACAAGAAGGCAATCCTTACATTTGTCAGCCACAGAGAGATAATTCTAGCACTTGCTGGAAAGAAAGAGGTAACCTTGCACCTGTTGGGCACAAAAGAGGCAATCTTTTACACTTGCCGGACATGAACAGGTGATTCTTACATTCAACATAAATTGTTTTATTCTTGTATTTTATTCATTTTTGTTGCCTATTTTCCATTATGCACACTCAATGCTGTTTTTTTTTTTCTTTTGCCCCCTAAATTCTGTTAGGCGCACTCATTTGGATCACAAACAATGGGAATTGTCATTTTGATCCCATCATATCTCAAAAATGAAGTAATGACTCTTTTTTTTTATCACATTTTTGAGTTACTTTTCAAAATTAATGAAAAATGGAAAAGTTTTATCAAAATCAACTCAATTCTGTAAGCCACATAGAAAAGGCTTTGCTAACACTCTACCTCAAATATTTTTGTAGTTTTGATAATAATTAAGCTGAAGTATATTTTTAAATAGTATGGCAAATTAAAGGATAAATTTATTATAGATTTATTCTCACCAAAATTACTTGATAAAATGGAAAAAATTCTGAACATTCTTTTCTTTCATTAATATCATTTAAAATATTTTCTTTCTGAATTGAAACTATGCGTGAATTTTCAGTAACATTATCACCAATAACACAGTTAAAAAGCTTCTGGGTGTCTGCAGAAAGTGTTAAAGGTTCAATTCCTGGAACTTTTTCAATACCTGTAATGAAATTTAAAATTAATTAATAATTTATTTTCAAAAACTTATCTTTTTTAATATGTTGACATGTTTTTATTATTCACAATAGTCATTGGTTTAAATGAAAATCTATAGATATATTCTAAACAAATAAAATCTGGATAATTTCATCAAAATATGAAGAATATTGGTGAACTATTATTGAGCTGCAATATAATTTAAATGTTAATTTACCTTTCGTGAATATATTTTCTTGAATGCTTTCTAAAGGAGATTGCAAAATAATGGCTTCCGGTATTGGTTTAATGTCTTCTATTTTTTCTATCGTTTTTTGCTTCACAGCTTCTACTTTTTGTTTATTTTTCATCTTTGGAGCCATTATATTTAAATTTCTATACCAAAAGTATTATTTCAAATCGACCGCCATTTTGTAATGTTTGTTTTGTTTCGTTGCTATGGCAACGTGACAAAATAACTTTTTTACGTCCGCTACACGTGTAAAGCAAAATGGACGCTTGTGTGTATAATACGATATTATGCTGTAAAAATAAAAAAGTCGAAGTGACTGTTGATAAAAATATTATGGAAAGATTAAGAAGGATTAAATTTTATGAAATGACTCTGAAAGTTATCTAAAGAATAAGAAAATACTATATTTTAAATATAATTATATATCTTTTATCTCTTTACTTTGTTCACATTTATGGAAAGATAAATGCTCGATTCTTTATATCTCTTTATTTAAATATTGTAGTTCTTTAACTAAAGCACTATTTTCGGCTGTAACTGGAATTAAAGGATAGATTATGACGTCCGTGTTTCGCTCGAGCGGAAAGCGTTTCTAAACTATGATGCAGCGACGTGTAGCGATAGCTGCTCGTGACGTCATTTACGCTGCACTCTCGCTGCATAAAGAAACGCAGCC